CTTTCATGCAATGTAACATAATACTTAACAGCAATAAACCATCAATTTTTTTATAAAAAAATAAAAGTTTCATGGATATTCAGAAAATGTGATATGGAAAGGTCTCCAAGGACATGGAAGTTAGGGTCACACATTCAAAATGCCAAAATGTTAACAAGAGATAACTGTACTGAAATGATTTTCTTTTCATTTTCAACACCTTTTTTACATAAAACAATAATCAATTTACTGTCATTTTTAAATGATCAACTAGGAAAATTGTTGACATAGGAAAAAATATCAATAGAACAATTAATAATGTCCAATTAGCTCCATTTGGAGATTCTGAACATAGTGAATGATTTAAAAGATTCTCACTTCTGAATCCACTGCAAGGCATCTTCGCACCACTCTATAGCCATCTCTGCTATCCCCTCAGTGAGCGCCTTCTGGACCACTTGAACAAAGAACTCCAAGTAACGCGTTCTTCTCTTAAACTTGGAGACTAAAATATGGAAAATTTGGGCTATAGTTAAAGGCATGTAATGCAAAATAGACTTTAAAACGAAACCAAAAAATAATAATTAATAATAATAAAGAAAAAAACGTTTTCTAGATATTTCAGTAATATTCCCTTAGCCACTAAGGGCAAAACCCTTTTCTGAACTCTTGAGAAAAATTATGATCTATGAACCTATTTTTGAGTTATACATTTCTAACTATTACTGTCAAGATTGACATTCACCATGCTCTCTCCATGTTCATTATGTGTGGGACTTGACTTTGAAACTTAGAACTCAAAATGAGTTTATTTGCCATAATTCTGTGAATGGCTTTTAGGATATACCAGTGTTTTTGCAATTCAGGAAAAAGAATTTTGGATATTGTGTACCAATTTTTACATCATTTGTGATTTCTCCCTTACCTTCTCTGTAAGCAATCCTACTGGGTAAGTAAGCTATGTAGGCATGAAGGATGCTAGGGTCTTCATTACCAGTCAATTCATGTTCACCTTGAGCTGCAGAAAAAGCATAAGATAATTTGATACATATGAAACTCTGAAAACTAATTGTTGAGAAAAAGTTGGGCAACACTAACATTCTTATATTCTACCAAAAAAGCCTAGCATGCAATACATTTTGTTTGTAATTAAATATCTTTGTATAATAAACATTATTATAATTCCATCTGCATCTTATTTCATTTGGGAAAGAAATTTTAATCAAAGTATGAAATTATTCAAATAAATGCAACTAAAATAGTTCATCAAAAGGACCTGTTATTAACTCACGTTACAAAAGTTATAAAATAAAGTAAATTTAGTCTTAAAAATAATAAAAATATCTCTACTTTGAATAAAAAGCTTTTTATATAAAACTGATTTGATAGAACCCTGTTTCAATGAGTCAGGAGCACAGTGTGCTAGAAATAGGTAATGTGTAAGTACTAACCTTGCTTTGACAGTTTCAGCATATGAGCCTCAAGTGCCTTGAGTTCTTCATTCACTGGTCCCTCTGCATCAGGCACGCCAAGGGGACCTTTCTTGGTCTTCTTCTTCTTCAGGGCTGCCAGGGTCAAAACACCTTCCTCTTCCTGAGAAGAATACAACAGAGAGAGTACAGAACAGTGACAGGTTAAGAGAGTAATACTGTAGGTAAAAATAAAAAATAATAAGAATAATTTACTGCTCTCTTTTAAATGATAAATAACTGAAAAGTTCACTTGTCTAATTTAATAAATTATTATAATATTTCACCAAAATAAAAAAAAAACACAAAATTAAAATAAAAAAGTTTATATATGACCGCATTCTCAATGAATTGAGCCAGGCTTTACAAATCCTGAGACTAAAAATGGCGGACGTACATGAAAGAAAAACCGCCTAATCTTTTAATAGTCTCTCCCCCTCTCACACGCCTCCCCACACGTCGTCCCTGCAGGGTACAGTTTAGTCTCAGGATTTGTAAAGCCTGGCTCAATTCGTTGAGAATGTGGTCTATTATTAACTACTCTCTCTCTCTCTCTCTCTCTCTCTCTCTCTCTCTATATATATATATATATATATAATGTGTATCATTTATTACCTGGGTATCCAGAGGTATTCCATTACTATTATTAGCAGCAGGGTCTTGCTTTGTTGGGTCTTCTAATGCCAGTAACTTTCTACCTGCTTCATTGACGCAATTAGCAAGATTTCTCTGGCCCCATGTTCTCAGAACCTGAAGGGTAAAATAACAGAATGAATTTAAAAAATCAATCACAGAAGTAAAAAAATATGTCAAATGTAACTCCATTTTTTTATTCCATCATGAAATGGTTTTCATTTAATAATTTCACATCATCATACTTAACCGGAAAACTTCCCAATGCCAAGGGTTTGTGTTAAATAAAAATGCTGCAACATGATAAGTTAAAAAATTATGCCATTTAATGATAAATATCAATTAACTTTTATCATTATTATTATGAATCATAAAAAAAACTTGCCCTGGCCATGTGGTAGCTGAGACAAGCTGTCATATGGTGAAGACTCTCATTGATCTTTTCTGTTCTACGCTGTCTGAGGCCCGATGGGATCTCCTGCAGCACCGAGAGGCAGCGCTCTAAAATCTGGAATCAAAGAGTGACATGAATAAAACAATTAACAACAAATTTAAACAAATTTAAACAACAAATTTTAGGTTTTATTGCAAAAATATGATATTTTCCAAATGTTGCAATATTAATTAATTGAATCAAATAATTGAGAAAAACTATAAATCTGAATATATGAAAATGAAAAAAAAAACACAAAAGATAAAAAATGTTAAACTTTCTGTTTTTGTGCAATTCTTAAAAGTGTCACACTGGAAATTTAACATGATTGTCTTTGGTACTACATAAAATATTTTCCTCTAAAAATACTTCACAGCAGGTCACATATATTGAAGCAATATAATTATATAATGTGACAATTTACCTGGACTACAGACACTGAAGGTATCTTGTAGAAGATGAGAGGAGCCAAAAGTCCGTAACATTGAATGACGGCCTGAAGTGCGAGATTAGCCTCGTTTAACCAACCTGCCAGCTCTAGCGCAACGAGCATGCGCTCACACTCCTTCAGTCGGTTAATCTGAATATAATAGTAGCATGAAATAATAAATCTTATTTATACAAGTCATGTAGCTCTCTCTAAACTGTTGATTAAATTAATATCAGAGAATTAATTTCTCAAAAGGATCATATATTATTAAATGGATAAAGGGTGAGCAAACAAAGAAGCAATCACAAAAGCTAATTCAAAATAAAGAAATACAAGAAAATGACATGGAGGATAATGAAATATGAATTTTTTAAAAATTACTTAATATAAATTTTTAGGAATGGACTCAAAAATAGTTTTTGGAGGATAGAAAAAGAAATAAGAAAATGCAACCAAAATCCTCACCTGTCCCTTATACAGGGGACCCTTGTCACAGATGACGTCACAGAAGAGGAAGAGGTTTTTGACGCTGATGTCAACATTGATGAAGATACTGGACAAAAACTGTCTCAGCAGTACAGGAGAGGCTTGGCTAACAACTCGGCGGTTCAGTCTGAATCATGAACGCATAATTGTGGTCAGTTAAAAGAAATATCAAAATAAAAAAGAGAGCATTAACATAGATGAAATGAGACATTCATGTCTCTATCTAAAATGTTCACAGCATAAGTGCTTACACAGTAATCATAAAATATGATGGATAAATAATTTACATGTGCCTTTTACTCATATCTGGTATGTAATGAAATATTGAATGCAAAGTGCTTAAAAACATTTGAATTCTTTAAGGAATATATAATAAAAAATTAATGAAAACAAACATTTTATTTCTTTACTATTTCTAGGATCATGTGAAATAAAAAATCATATTTATGTGTACACACACACACACACACACACACACAAAAAAAAAAATAAATAAATAAATAAATAAATAAAATAAAAATGAAAAATAATTAAAATAAAATAAATAAAAATTTGGGTCATTTTCTATAGAAAAACCTAAATTTTCCCACCTATGTAAGGACAGTTGGAAATCTTTCTGTGCTGAGGTGGTGTAGGTGACACTCTCTGGTGGTGGTGGTTCAGCCACGAAATGTCCCCACAACACCTCACACGCCTGCCTGGCAATGTCATAACAGCCACACTGGTACGCCACCTACAGTACAAAACAGACATACATGACAATGATTATAACTGAAAGTGGTTGTACAGTTGTTGGTAAGAAATTAATTTTGAATAGAATTAGATTAACTTAAAGTATATCGTTGATTGGAGTTTATTATTTCATCAAAGTATGGTTTGAGATTTAAATTCAAACATTCCTCTTATTCCAGAATGTAATATAATCATGCATATTTCTGAAGGATACTTGAACAAATCAAAGTTGAGATCTGCAGCACATTATCATAGGTGGCAGCACATTACCTGACTCAGAAAGCCCCAAGTCATGAGCACAGGAAGTGGATGTGCAGCCAAGATAGGCTTGCCTGTCTCTCCCACACTGCCCCCTATCAGCTTGCCGTCTGCTGTGTACGCAGCCACAGCAAACACATAGCGCTCATTTGGGGTTAAGCCACTCACTCTCAGCTCACAATGGAAAGAGGGAACCTAAAAAAAATTATGTACAAAATGAGTAACTGAAAATTATATATGAAACACTAATTGGATACTTTCTATGAACAATGTGCACCACTGATTGGAATTCCTGAAGAAATTGAGGAGCAAATTACAGAGTTGAAAACACTTATTTATGCATAACCAAGGAGTTATAACAGAAGGAGATTACACGCGTGGGGGCGGAGCCCGTATTACGGTCTCTCATTGGTCGGAATGAATAGAACCCAGAGAACAATGGATGCCTATCTCTGTTACGCTTAATTGCTATCTCGTTTAAATCTCGTTTGTTAGTATCTGTGCCTTCGTCTGTTGATTTTTGAGGACAGAAACAGAAACGGAGTCCCAAGTTTCTAAAAAATGAGAGAAATACAGAATTTATATGATATTACGTTGGACAAGGTTTTCAAAAAACAGGTAAGTGCTTTTAAATGCATAACTACACGAAATATGAAGATAAATTGCAACTTTTATGTCGCAGGGTCTCACTGTGTAAGTGTCCAGCTACACGTTGATCTCGCGAGGTGGTGTGTGGAGAATAAATATTGCACGAAAAATATTTCCCACTCATAACAAGTGCCTATAAATATAGTATCAGATGAAGAAAGTTTGGTCTTTATACAGTTGCAATTGTTAAGTAATTTGTGGCAATAGCAAAGAATAAAACTTAGGTGCACTTTCAGTAGCCGAATAACAAGCAGATGCTTAAGCCGCCATCTTGTTAATATTTCGAAAAAAAANAAATTTATCTCCAAGCTGAGGAGAGCGACGCAGACGAAACCTTGAGACCGGAGGCCCCCCGTAGCTAGCTCCGCCCACCGTAACAGACATCGGACAATAGAAAGGCTTGCGTGTAATCTCCTTCTGTTATAACTCCTTGGCATAACTTAGCTTCAACAGAGTTGCCTCTTTTAAAATTATATTTCATTTAAGCATTATATCACCTTTATACAGACAAATAATTCAACTGATGAATGAATGCATGTTTAAATAAATAAATAAATAAATAAATAAATAAATAAATAAATAACATTCACTGAATCTCTGTACATCCACCACCACTCCACAACTAAATGATCAACATGACTTTGTCTTAGGACAATTAAAGCAGAAAATTAAAAACCATGGTAGACTAGATTGCAAAAATTATATAAAAATGAAAATAAATATTTCATATATGATTATCATGATGAAAGCACATGCAAGTCACGTCCCATGTACCAAGAAAAGAGACAGCTAAAAAAACTGAAGTTTCCAAGTAGGCATAAATGTATTGATTTTAAGTTTTACATAAACCCCAGTTCCACATTACATACAGTCTTTAGGAAGGCAACAATAATTTTCAAATATAATGTAGCCAAATAAGCAGAAACCACCACCAAAGAGATATATATTTTATATATGTACTTTAGACATGAAGAGGAAAATTAATCATGCAGCTTAAAAAAAAGAAAATAAAGCAAATAATGGTTTGTACCAAATGCGAAAAATGTTGACAAAAAACCTTACCCCTTTAGCCAGAATCTGTGACATAATTAACAAAGCACAAACATCTGTGGTTATTAGCGAAAAAAAGGCTGTGCCACACAAAATATTAATATATAAAGATGAACACTAACAGCATCTTATAATTAAAAGTAAGCTGGCAATGACAACATTCCCAGTGCCATGTAATAATATAGTTAAGAATGTCTCTTTGCAGCAATAATTTCATGAAATAAATACTAAACAAAGTTTACCTGAACTAAATTCTCTTTTCAAAGGTAACTAATAGGAAAATGCCCCCCCCCCCCAAAAAAAAAAATGCTTGTGCATGCATGTGTATAACAAACACACGCAAACTAATCTCGAGTAGGAGAACGCTTTACAAAGAAGCATAAGTAAATGAAGCCAGTGCAATAAAAAGTTAAATATTTCTAAAACAGAATATTTAAAACAGTTTCACAAATTTAAGTAGAATGTTTAATTTTGATAATTTTTTTTCTTACCTCTTCTCCAGTGCCTGGCAGGAAGTAGTCGTTCAGCCTGACCTTCACATTGCTCCCTGTGGCTGACCTGCCAAAGAGGCGATACCATGCCACCTAAAAATGAATATCTTTTGTTAATTCTTGTATGACTTTTTAAAAAGTTTTTTAAAAAAGGTGATACCATTTCCAATTGGCTTTTTTATTGTCAACTTTCCACAGCTGCCTGCTAATCTGATAAATGCCTTGTTGATGATATGGATAGTTGCACTCACAAATCTGCTCACTCCCTTACGAAAAAGTCCTACAGGATCCTATAAGATCCTACAGGATTCTATAAGAAATTGGCCCAATTTCCTATAGGATCCTATAGGATCTTATAGGTTCCTATAGGACTTTTTCATTAGGGCTGACAGTATCTTATAATTATTATAGCTATTACTTATACCATATGACAGATGTCAAGAACAAAAGACAGAGACATTCACACAAACCAATGCTTTGGTATTTTATTCTTGTTATCACCATCAGATACACCACTGGTGCAAGTGATTTGTGTATCCCTTATGAATAAGTCCTATAGGATCCTATAGGAAATAGGCCCAATTTCCTATAGGATCCTATAGGATCTTATAGGAACCTATTGGACTTTTTCGTAAGGGATATGTTGCCCTCATGTCCATCAAATGCATGTTACTGACACTCTTACACTGCGGACTTATCTCTTCCATACCTTCTGCCCATTGGGAGGTTCAAAAGGCGCTGGCTGGAACACCATGGTGGCGTCCGTCCTGCACAGAAGTATAGGGGGCGGTGGCACCTTGCTCTTCTTCACTGAGAGAGCCTTTCCATTGATGGCATTCTCTACGTACATCTTCTTCTCTTCTGTCTGGGCCTGAGTGATCAGGTTCACGGAATTCTGGAAATATGGCACACAAAAATTTTGATATTTCATGTGATTGAATTTAGAAAAACATTTAGCTTAATATTAGAACTCTGTGAGGTTAAGCAGTTCACTGTGCAGATCATTATGAGAAGATCATCTTTAATCTTTTATTACTTCCCTTCTTTTTCTTCTTCGAAAAACAAAAGTGTGTGTGTGTGTGTGTGTGTGTGTGTGTGTGTGTGTATGCGTGTGTGCAAATGCAATCTGTGTCAAAACATAGACACTACCAGCTGATTTGTTTTAATAGTATTCTGGTATGGACACCCGGTATAAAAAGCAGTAAATCTTGATTTGTACATAATAAAAGCAGCTTCCTGAGAACATATAGTCTGCATAGTCAGAAAGCTTAGTCAAAGTGCAACCTGGCTAACCTGCAGGAGATCCTTCTGTTCTGCAGTTGGCTGGTCATCAGAGGAAGCCATCCAAGCTCTCTGCATATAGAGTAATGCCTTGGACAGCTGGTTCTTGTTACACATAGATATCAGCTCGTCAAAGTCTTCTATGTACTCAGCCACAGGGCGCATGGACTCTCGGCTTCCCTACAAATGTGGAAAAATCCTTTTATTATAATAAGTTAATTTGTCCTATATGTGTTGAAATCTCCCAAAGTCAATTTTTTATGTCTTAAATATGCTGCAATTGCTACAGTACCTTAACTTTTCCTAATTCGGACTTAACTTGTTAAAATGATAAAACTCCGTCAATAAAAATACCTGGTGTCAATATTTTTTTCTCAAGGAAAATTCGAAGTGAAAACCCTCCATAGCATATCTTAATTAAACTTGGATGTAATCAAAGTCAAATTTTAGTGACAAAAATACCAGTACTAGGTTTCTATTAAGTTACTTACAGGTATCTTGGAACATGTTCTTCTTTTAAATGGTTTTGGTGCTTTCAGCGCAGGATCTAAAATAAAGACACACAAGCATACCAACAAAATATCATTATATTACAGAAATAGGAGTCTACAACCAAGATGAGAAGCAATACCATCTACATTGCAAGTTGTAATACAGTACTTGTAAGTCCAGCAAATTAATGTACAAATTATTATAATTTTTAAAAACTTACATTTCTATATTACTTCAATTAAATGCCGGATAATATGGAAAAATGCACAGTTAAATTATAATAATTGTAAATAAAATTCTTACTCACCAGGACCCATGGCTGCCAACTTGAGGCTGACTCTGTGGTGCATAAAGATCAGCTCCAGGTGTAAATCTCTGATGGCGTTCATCACCGAGTTGGCGTCACGGGACTTATTGGGGTCAAACTCCTCCAGTGTGGGACCTTCCTCTATCTCCTTCCAGGTCATGGGGGCAAACAGATCTTCATTTAGTTCCTGTGAGAAGAAACAGGATTAAAAATAATAATAATAATAATAATAATAATAATAATAATAATAACAACAACAACAACAACAACAACAACAACAACAATAATAATAATAGCAATAAAAACAACAACAACATTATGCATACAATGTGCATCACATGTTTTCTCTTTTTTACATACTTAGGTAAACCATACCCAAACCTGTTCAGACAAAAAATTCTAAATTCATTAGCATCTTCATTTTCTATATTATATAACAAAAATATTTCATATTTCATATCTATCAGGCCCTCAATGGTAACTGACTTCTCACCTTCACCCATCCTATATCAGCAATGGATTTCCCATCAGTGAGGGCGACGGCCTGCCTGGCAAAGGACACGTTACTCAGCCCCAGCTCCAGTATCTCCCTGGCGGCCAGTAGCTGCTGTCTGGCTCCCGCCTTCAAGATGGGAGCACTGACACTTTGCTCTCCACGACTGGGAGACGCCTCTGATTTTCTCAGATCTAGATTTGGAAATTTAAAAATTATTAAAAAGCTTTTATTTCTGAAGTATGCACAGTGCCTCAGTGTGAGTAAGTGCTATTGAGAAAAAATAAAAGGTTAAAAAAAGGAAAAGATAACATTTTCTGTAAATTCCAAAATTCAGAGAGCATCCAGCCAAAATGTCTCTGTGTCTGTAAGTGCTATTTAGCAAAAAAAAAGGTTTAAAAAAGGAAAAAGATAACATTTGCTGTAAATTCCAAAATACACTAGTCTTCTGATTTAAATCCATTAAGTCTTGCCCATTCTTCATACCTCTGGTGACTCCTGATACCACAGTAACTCCATCTTCATCCTCTCTTGTTCTACCAGCAGATGTAATCACAGATTTACTCTTGGTCATCTTTTTGTCTGAAAAATATAGACTTAAAATAATTTTCAACACACACTTCTGTTACCATTCCCTGATCATGATCTCAGCTGCATCCTACCCTGCCTATCCCACCCCAACATATCCTATTCCATCACAGCATTACTCTACACCACCCCAATCAAACCCCACCTGACTCCTCTCCACCCTACCCCACCCTAACATACCCCATCCCAACACACCTTATCTCCAGCTAGAAGTACCCCACCCCACACCATACCATCTCACTTAAATCCCAACCACACCTTTACATTGTGACCTTTTGTCACCCAGTCTACCATACCCCACCATTAAAGGGTAGACAGATACACTGAGATTATGTTATAATAATAATAATAATAATAATAATAATAATAATAATAATAATAATAATAAACTTACCTTTCCCCTCGGTCGCATCCAGTGTGGCACTGGCTTCCATGACAAGAGCCAGGCGGACGACAACTTCTGCGGTGAGAGTGGGGTCCACACTGCTCATGCCACACCAGCCTAGGACTTGGTGGACAATGTCCAAGATGTACACCCACTGTAAACAATAATACAGCAGTCAAGGCTTGTGTTTTTTTAAGTATGATATGAATATGATAATTGAGAAAATTTCTAACACCTCAGCTGACAATGATTAATCATAGTTAAAATGAACTTTAAGACACAAATCCAAAATCATAATTATGCACAGAATTATGCACAAAATTAGTTTAAAATCCATTTTAAAAGAAATCCAATGAAAAAGGAGAGAGAGAGAGAGAGAGAGATAAAAGAGTCAGCAGCTTTTGTGTGCTATATTTGTCCCAAGGTTTCACCTTGCTGGCATTCTCCATCTTCTGCAGGTACTTGGCATTCTCTGTGGACCCTGTCTGGTACTTCTGGAACACTGACTTACACTTGTTCCACAGAAACAGGGCAGCATCCACTATCATGTCCAAGTCCATCTTCTCTGGCTGGATTAATAATAATAATAATAATAATAATAATAATAATAATAATAATAATAACATTTTTCATACACTGTGTATCACACCTTTTCTTTTTTTTACAAGGTATACCCTATCCAAAAAGTAATTAGTTAATAATCAATTAATAAATAATCATAAGTAATAATTAATTTATCAATAAGTATTGTGCTGTGTGGAAGATGCTAACGTTAATCCAAATATGAAGATGACTTACACTAAATGATCCAGCTATCACTGACAGCAACACATCTGCCACCTGAATCAGCTCATCGTGCTGCAATCCCCCAGGACGTGCTGAAGCTGAAGTGTACAAAATAATTGTATTTTTATATTAACTTACACTAATTCTTCACAAAATAATACCTATTTTATTTCATGTCATATCATTTTATTCATTATCAATCAATTCACCAAGAAAACATCAAATCTTAATTAGTTATAAGCTTACATTTACTTTAATTCTAGTCATTTTGATTTATCAATAATTCATTATATGTCATCTCATTTTTGATTCCACATCCAGTTAAGTTTTTTTTTCTTTTTGGAAATATTATAACAATACATTTTACTGCTGCATGACAAATGTCACTGGTATATCCATAAAGACAAATACTTAAGTTGATTTTTAAAAAATTTTTACACTCACCAGTTGGAGCTGTGGTAGGGGGTGGTGGGAGAGTTGGTTCTTGTCCCAACATGGCACTTTCATCCTCTGAGAAATGCATGGAAGGCTGCCTCTTCACTTTCCTACTGGAGCTGGCATTCTCCATTGCCTTCAGGATCTCTATGGCTTTCTCGTCATACTTGTAGTTGGCGTCATTTATTTCCTAAAAATGAAGAAGTAAACTACCTGATAACAACTGTAAAATTCAGTGCTTAGAACTCATGGAAAAAAATCATAAATACCACAATAAAACATCTTATCTGTATCAATAGATCACAAGAGAATTGAATTTTGTTTTGTATGAAAACTCATAATAATCATCTTTTTCTAATTTCTGTGCTTAACTTTCATCAGAAATCTCAGTCCATAAACATTTCAGATGTTCAGGATAAATTTAATTTTTTAAATAAAAGTTTTTTAATAAATGAAATGTTACCAAAGTGTAACAAATTGACCAAAGATTATAGATTGTACTTGTGATCAGACAGACAAACTGACCAATTAATTTCAGATCCACTTACAAAGTGGCACCACTAAGCACTTACCTTTAAGTAAGCCTGGACATTTTCAGTCAACAGGTCAAACAGGTCCCACTGTTCATAGCAATAGGCCAGCTTGACCAGCTTGATGACCCCACTGAGTGGCACCCCGTCCTCTCCACTACCCACCATATCTATGAGGGCATTGTTAGTGACCACTCCGGCCATTCCTGGCACTCTTATCATGGTGGGGTTGGCAGGCGACTGCAAGGCATTGCCACCGCCACCTGGTGGGAAAAATTGATTGACAATCTAGTAATTTAATAATTTAATTAGAATGAGTTGTGCTATATACTCAGTTGCAGTGGCAGTTTCTATTGTATAAACATAGGCTAAAATAAGTACCCCAAGGATAAACCTTTAAGTGGTGTGGGGAATATTTTGAAATTTTAAGGTTTTTAAATTTTACATTCAGGTCTAACACTCATTCTATGACTTAAATTATTCATTCATTTACTCATTCATCCATCATTTATACCTCTGAGTCAATCATCCATCATCTAAACCTTAATCAATCAATCAATCAATCAATCAATCAATCAATCAATCAATCAATCAATCAGGGCAGTGATAGAGTAATCACCTGCTATGATCTCCTGTGCCGCCATGAATAACTCAGCATACACATCCAACATCTCAACTTCACTGTCTGGGGCTGGTGGAGCAGTCAACAGCGTGCGTCGATTGCTATCAGTCAGAGTCTCGATGATGCACATGAACTGGGCAGCACTGCCTTCAAACATGTCTGCCAGGAGGCGTTCTGTTGGGGTCCGAGGCCAGGGGAGCTGAAAGAGATCGAACATACACGTTTTTTAAGGAAGGGGAGGGGGGGGGAGGAAGAAGTATTTTGACAAGTATTTACAAAACTAGTGTTATCAATCACAAATAACTTGAAAATATTCATTGTTTCATTTTTACTCAAAATTTTATCAAAATTGCCATCAGATAATACCTAAAAATCTTAGAAATGTTTAAGTGTAGAACACTTAATACTTACAGTCTGTGCATCCTTCAAGTTAGCCCTGGTTTTTGGCCTGAGGAGACCCTTGGGGCGCTTCCTGGTCTCAAAGGCTGACCGCTTAAATACCATGATTCCCAGCTGTATATGAATGTAAAAATAATAGTAATAATAATTTTATTAAAACAACACAAAAGAAAAAAAAAGAAGAAGGAGAAGATAAAGAAGAAGAACAAGAAGAAAAAGAAAAAGAAAAACAGCAACAACAACACTGATAAAATTAAAGACAAATTTGAATACCAATTAATACCTACCACTATTTACACATTATATCTATTTATTGATATCTGTATAACATTAAATCCTCACCTTGGTAGTGGCTTGTTTGAAGGTGCTCTCTGTCTGCTTGCTCTCCTTGGCACTACTCATGTGTTCTAGCTGGCTCAGCTCGTTGACCTTGCTGATGGCTCTTCTGGCAAAAGCCTGAAAGTTTGATATAAAATAATTATGAAAGTTTTGGATTTAATTTGGTTGGTGATTAAGGAAAAGTTGCTGAAATTTTTAAAGAAATATTTCATTATTATTATTATTATTGATATTTTAAAGAGGGTCTTATGTGCACTGAAGCCCTTCTAAGTTAATAAAACTAAATCATATTCTTTACTTAGAGACTAAAGAACTATTTCTGCATATTAAGGAATAATTCTGTTTTATCATCCTATCTAGAGATCAGGAAAATACTCCTTCTTAGCCCTCTTAGCTTTTTTGTGAACCTAGTCCAAGCTGTTATTACCTCAAGAAATTGTCGATTCTATATTATTATTATTATTATTATTATTATTATTATTATTATTATTATTATGTCCATACCTCAGCATGAGGAGCAGCCTTACAGTCGTAGTAACACTGACACACTGCTGTATACAGGGTGGACCTCCAGGGAAGATATCGCACACTTAACAAGGGCACCGACCCCTCCATACACATACACGCCCACAGCAAGTACTCCAGGACCTGGAAAACCACAGTGAATCAACTTTTACCATTTGAAATTAACAATGAAATGCGTTGTTACACAGTTGATTCTACAGTACTTGCCATGGACAATTTGAGAACAGAGAATCTATTCAAGTTATGTGTAGTATTCCAATGTCTGTATTCCTTAAAGAGAGAGAAAAAGAAAAAAATATGCACCATAGGATTTGTTCAAGATAATTCTATCAATTGATGCCATCAAAATGATGACTCTTAAGTCTTAATCATGATTTAATTTTTTTAAATGAATTAAATTGAAGTTCCATTACTCAAGTCTGTTCAAAAGCTGCTGAGATGGTAAGCGCAAGTTACCTTTGCTGAGTATCCAAGAGACATGAGGTGCCTGGATACACTGTAGATGTGGATGGTACCTGACATGACGCAGAGAAAAAAAATGAGGTCTTTATTCTTGATCAGATGTTACTAAAGCTTTGTCAAATATATCTAACCCAAAAAATGAAATAATTAATTCATTTAATTCACTATTATGATGTGTCAACCTTAAGTGGTGTCATTTTGCTTCAAAATTGACAAAGAACATTTTGGTACAAAAAATACAATCAAATGCAGTGTACAAAATAATATCTTTCTGGCTAGCTTTTTAAATTTGATTGGAAATTAGCATGGGTGTAGTTATTAACGTCAAAGACTGTTTGACTGGCAACTGCAATTGGCATGGAATCATAGCTTAATGTCACAGACTAGATAGTAATGATAAAATAAAATAAAATAAAAATTACATTTCAAAAAATATATTTTTTTTGTATTTTATTCAATTTAAAATAGTTACCATTGTAGACCAACCAGCAGAGAGGTTCTTTGGGCAGGACAACTTGAGTGACCAGCCTCAGGAAGGACAGGAGCTGGGTGCAGTTGTCCACTGACTCTGGATTCTGAAGTTTGGGATCGGTCAGCTTGACCACCTGGTACATACAGATGGCCTTGCCCATCAGGGCACGAAACTGGAGAAAAAAAATAATTTAAATTATATTAAAAATCATAATGATACATGGCATGATTGCAAAGAAAAGAAAATGAAGAAAAAAAACATGATCAATTATAGACAACTCGAAGACAAGAATAGAGAAAAAATTATAAAAGATCAAGTAAGGCCTATCAAAAATTAAGAATACCAGAAAACATTAATAAATTGCACAAGATAAAGAGTAGAGATACAACTGACTACATTCAAAGCAGATATAACTGAATTAAAAATATCAGAAAACTTAAGCTAATTTAAATTGTAAATCTAGATCTAGCCAAATTATCAAAATCAGCAACAAAAATGTATTCTTTATGTCATGGTAAATAGAAACTTATTATTAAGAAATGTAGTTGCGCACTTACTGTTAATCCAGCATTAGCAGCATCAAAACCGTCTGGGAAGAAGACAGATTTAAATGTCTCCACGTCAGTGATCTGTTCCACGTTAACATCACCAAAATTCTCCAGGTATCGCCCATAGCACTGCCACAAGGCTAGCTTATACTCCTGAGAGAAGAAAAGTTATTTAGTGAAAAGAGGAAGACATACATGTTCAAACAGTGATGAAAAATAATCCTAAAAATGGTTCAGTGTCCAGGCAAATTGCTTGTAAGGAGGACGCAATGAAATCAGAGTGCATCAAATATAAAAATATCTTCTAAAAGAAAGGCATTACAAATAACTATTTCTAAATATCTATTTCTACATTCGAAAACAGACATTGCCAAGAATATTTTTTATAAGATATATTTATGACCTTAATAAAATGTTACTGGCATTTGGGTAGGTCCAGTGTTAACATCACTGACCAGAAAAATACCAACCTTAATAGAGACAAGGAAATCTCCCATTTCCAAAAGCTTCTCTTGGTAGTAATCCATGGGCAGTCTTGGTTCATACTTGTTCCACAATTCAAACAATGCATCAGCTCTAAAAGAATACCAAGCCCATATAATTATTTATTTTATTTCATTCACTGATGAGCCGCTGACGATTCAGTATAGTAGGCAGACTTTCAATAATTACTAAATTCCTTCACTTAAAACATATTGTTTTTATTTGCTGATTTTTTCCACATATCTATATGTATGTATTTATTTCAAATTTGTTTTCAAAGTAGTCAAATTTAGGCTACGGTACATATTCACATACTTTATCCATTATTTCGTTTAGTAAGTATTCAACAATGATATAGTTATATATACAAAATAATAGACTTTCAGTACAGCCTAGTAACACATACGCTCTAGAAGATGGCTCCTCGGTTGGTTTCTTGAACCCAGGGGCACTTCTTTTCTTCATGTAACCGACATATTGCTTCATTTCTTGCTCGAGAGCTTGAAACACAGGATTGGTCTTCATATCCTTGCCGTAATAGCTACAGGGTTGACCCCTGTTAACCGTGCCGGCTGCGCTATTCTGCAGCGTTGCAGCCATCGTCTGAAATTCTTTCTCACATTCGATTTAAAAGAGAAATATCCCGATGAATGCGGTTTTGTGTTGGGCAAGTGCTCACAAATAAACCAATATGGCGCGTTGCTAACAAGCTTTTTAAATCTAACGTACCTCCAAATAAAAAAGAGCAGTGCGGTAGTTGAGACGAGCACGTTGTGTCCAACTAATTTCACTACATGCAATATGGCGGCGGTGAAGACCGAAGACCCCGTCGTAGAAGGGGAAGATCTTGTCAATGGAGATGTTGTTGCTGATAACCAACCAATAGACAATGCAGATGTAAATGAAGGAGAAGCCAAGAAAAAGAAGAAGAAGAAAAAGAAGAAGAAAAATGCTGGTAGGTTGTGTCAGATAGACCTCTTGTATTAATCATATGACTGTCTAGTCAGTCTAGCTAGTCGAAAAAATGATGATTTTGCCAGATGTTGAAAAGTAAATGTCCCGTGTAAAAACAGGCAACAATAAAGTGAGAGACATAAATCTATGTAGAGTGTTTCTACTATAAAATAAGGTTACTTTGAATTATAATATGCTGCCAGATATCGGCCGATTGTGTACTTTACTCAAGTTGCCTTTATTTTAATACTGTAGCTGTCATACTGTATGTCTAACACATATGTGCATGTACTAGAAGTTGTATGATAATGATATATAAGAACATATGTACCTCATCTATAAATAAAAATATGCCACTAGAGTAGTTTATTATTTTAAAAATGTGCTAAAACCAATTGAATAAAAGGCATTATTGTTATATATAATAATAATAATAATAATAATAATAATAATAATAATAATTACATAATGTAGGTAGTTATGTGTGTTAAACTTTACTTGGCTCTGTTCTGTATGCAGGAAGTCCTGATGCTGAAGTCAATGGTGAGGTGTCAGAACTGGGGGACAAACTGGAAACACAGAAGCTAGAGGATGGGAATGGTATGTGTTACTCCAAAGAGGGTTTTCAATTGGTTTTAAAAGAATATTTTTACCCATTTGAAAATGCCCCATAACCATATGTCTGAGTCCAAATGTCCTAACAAGCTACTTATCTTTTCCAGTTCAGGAATACTTAAAAACAATACACCCCCTCAAATGAAAAGCATCTGATGTCAGTTTATTCTTTGTTTAATAGTAAGGGAGACCATGACAGTCTTAATGTCTCACAAGGCATTTAAAACTTAATTATTAAATTTAAAATGGTATTAAATATTGAATTCAAGTGCAGGAACAGGTCAAGCTGTCATTCATGAGGAGGAGAAATTTGCTTTCTTTTTCTTGCGGGAAATTAGAATTCCTAGATAGGATACCTTTCACCAAATATCCCGTGGTCCTCATTGCGGAAAGTACATGTTTACTCATTGAAACCAATCTGTCATTTAACAGTTTTGACCATACAAAATAAGGGATTTATAATGCCAGGCTCTTCGTATAATTTAACAGCTACGAATAAATTTGTTTTTTTGTTGTCATTTTATATAATATATACACAAATTTTATGACCTTTTTACTTATAAACTTGCATTGTCTTTTAGTGACAAATAGGCAGTGCAAGTTCATAAATAGATTTCAAAAAGTCAATACTTTTTCAGTTGACAATGAGGACGAGGCCGAAGGAGCAGAAGAGGGAGGAGAGACTGCAACCAAAAAGAAGAAAAAGAAAAACAAGAAGAAAAATAAAGGTTACCGTATTATTTATTGTCTAGTTCAGTCATACTAAGAGTTTGATCACTCCATTGCTACTCAAAAATGTGTAGACCTGTTTTTTTTTTTTTTTTTTTCTTTTTTTTTTTTTACCACTCACCATAAAACCATAGTTTTTTGGTCTACAGTTCTTAAAATTTAAGAAAAGGTTCCTGCTCAGATCTTATTTTTTCTGACACAAAACACCATAGTTTCAGAATTTATAGTGGTTTTGGGCTTTGATTTTTGTATTATATAGATTTAATTGACATTTAAAAAAAAAGGATGAAAAGTAACATTTTTTTTTACTTAATATAGGCTTTGTTCTCACAGGAGGGGCAATTTCCCATTTTTCATTTATGACCACTGTCTGTAGGATTCTGTACCTCTTCACACGACAGGCATTTCAGCATGTTTGATGAACTTTAGGTTTTTAAATAAAATAAAACTGATGCTTTAATTAAAAACAATGGATAATATTTTTTTTTTTTTTTTGACGCTTACAAGCATAGAGTTGATCACTGACATGTGATGTTGATGACATAATTTTTTTTCTTTTTGTGTTAAATATGATAGGTCCTAAAGCTCAAACAGACCCGCCCACAATACCTGTTGTTGAATTATTTCCGGATGGCAACTTCCCAGAAGGGGAAATTATGGAATACCCTACAAAACAAGATGAGTAAGTCAATAAGTACTTAATTTAATTATGATTTAGATCTTCTTATTTCAACTGAAATAAAATTAGAGAAGTCTAAAGGTTTCTAGATTTGCAGAAGTAATTAGCCTGTTTCAGTTTTCTGGACAGGTTTTGCTTCTTTCTAAAAACTTATCAGCATATTTTGTGAAAATAGATTTTCTTTCCAATTTGAATAGTCACTGATTGATAAAATGTTCTTTTTGGAAAAAAAAATAATGATAGTAAGATTTGATTAATCTATTTCACAAATGAAGTAACAATTCTAACAATGAAATACTTTTCCACATAAAACTTTGACAAAAATCAAGGCAGTAAAACACTGGGCAGCTCAGTGGCGTCCTCTATTGACTATAATATGATTTGATTTGATAATTGAACTTTCACTCCCTTTCAGTCGCACAGCATTTAACAGAATGACCAGTGAGGAGAAGAGGTCTCTGGACAGAATGAATGTTGATCTGTATAATGAAGTACGGCAGGCAGCAGAGGCTCATAGACAGGTATAACATAATGCCACAACATGACATGACATGACATGACATGACACTAGATGTCTTGATACGACATGACACAAAACAAGATGACATGATACAACCTTAATGTGACATGACATAACCTAACATAAGCACATTTCACCTATCAGAAATGATTAATTTAAAAGAAATTGAAAGGAATGTATACAGATCTCTAACAACACCTTCTCATAAAATTTATCTTTATTAAAAGTATTCCTTCCTGTTTTATTTCAGACCAGAAAATATATGCACTCGTATATCAAGCCAGGTCTGACTATGATTGATATATGGTAAGTATAGAGTGGAACACTTAATTGTGTCAGTGAATACAATTTTTGTTTGAGGTGACATAGACTGCTACATCAACAGTATCAGTAATATAAGTAGTAGTAACAGTAATAATGGTATTTAAATTTTATTAGTAAAAACAGTTGTAGCAGCAGCATCAATAGCAGTATTAGTAGTTGTAATATTCATAGACACTAGAAGAGGTAGCAGTAGTAGAAGTATCTGTTGTAATTTCAGTTCAGTTCAGTTTGTGGTGAATATATCATATATCTGTTACAGGTTATTCTCCTATACAATATATGTCATACTTGCCCCACCCCCACCCCCACCCCCACCCCCAGCATAATACTTACATGTTCAGAATTCCTCTTGCAGTGAAACTCTCGAAGGCATTAGTCGTAAGATGATCAATGAGACGGGCCTCCAGGCGGGTCTGGCTTTCCCCACTGGCTGCTCACTGAACTACTGTGCCGCCCATTACACGCCCAATGCAGGCGACACCACTGTGCTACAGTATGATGACGTCTGCAAGATTGACTTTGGAACTCATATAAATGGTAAGATTGGTCTGTGTCATTAGCCATTGATCTGAGGAATTTAACCAATAGACAATAAACAGTAATGAGATGTTCCCTAATATTGCCGGATTTCTGACTTTTGGGAGCCCAAAATTATCATTTTTGAGAACGATGCAGAGGGGCCCCTGGATCCCTCACCATATTTTCAGACTTTTTGCTAAATGGCAGTTTCATCCCTGAGTAGATTTGGTGTTGGACTTGTTTAGAAAATTGGATTTTTCATAATCACTGTGTGTTTCTGAAAAATGATATTGGTGTGACAGACAACCGGAAACAAATCTCAGTGATATTTGACAGAATCCTGTCAGTAATGTGAACTAGATTAAATAAACTATTGCTGTCATGTTTTGTTCATTTTTCTTTTAGGTCGAATAATTGATTGTGCCTTCACAGTATCTTTCAACCCACGCTACGATCCCTTAAAACAGGCCGTTAAAGATGCCACCAACACAGGGATACGGGAAAGCGGGATAGATGTGCGTCTTTGCGATGTGGGGGAGGCAATACAGGAAGTAATGGAATCCTACGAAGTGGAACTAGATGGCAAAACATACCAAGGTATGAATACTGCTGGTATGAATACTAATCTTTACTAAATGGTGAAAAAGACAGTCGCTTCTGTGGACAGCTCTGCCCTTATTTAGACCAGGATGTGCCCCTTGTCCTGAGCTGTTTGTGACTATCTGTCCTTTATTCCAGTCTGTATTTTTTTATCCTTTGAAGGCCTTTGAAGTGTCTAAGCAAGTGAGAGCTGGTCTTTCCCTGTCCTTACAGCCGTTAGTGTGTGTTGCCAGAGGATAACATCTCATACTGTTAATTTTTCCTTTTTGGCATTACATCTTCTCCATCTGAACTCTGCACTGTGATATGTTAAAACACGAACACGCCTTACACCGGGGTCAGTTAGTTACTTTATATAAAAAATCACAATATGTTCTTCTCCAGTGAAGTCCATCCGTAACCTGAATGGCCATTCTCTTGGACCATACCAGATCCATGCAGGGAAAACAGTGCCCATTGTGAAAGGAGGAGAGGCAACCCGTATGGAGGTAGGAGTTAAATAAATAAATGAATAAAAAAAAGGATAGTCATGTAATGAGAAATATATAATACAGAACTGTAGTGGAATGTGTAATGTTATGAAGAATTTTTTTATTTTGAAACTGTGTGGGTAATGGGTAATGATATTGAACATTTTAGGAACTTTAAAGCATTACCCTACCTTTAAAACACGTAAAGTTCAGTTAAAATGTGGTTTGTAATACGTACTTGATATTAAGAAGAAAAAGACAATATTTGGTATTAAAAATGGAAAACTGGGTTATAATAAATTTTTTATATCAAAGAAAACTTGAAGTGAAGATAGCTAGAATATTCAAGTGATAATGAATTTAAAATTACCTTTTATGAAGGAAAACAGAAAGAGCGAAAATTAAAATTATGGAAAAGTAGACCCCACCAAAGAAAAATTGAAGAAATGACCAAGCCAAAAATCAACAAAAAGATAGCTTCAGTGTATCATATTAAATTTCTTGATACCACATTGAATTTAAGTAAAACTTTGAACTCATAACATCATATAATTGTTGTTGATGTTGTTCTTTTTGTTGTAGGAGATGGAGTTCTATGCCATAGAGACATTCGGCAGCACAGGAAAGGGGGTCGTCCACGATGACATGGAGACTTCCCATTACATGAAGAACTTTGAAGTGGGACACGTTCCTCTTAGGTGAATATGATGTGATAGCAATAAGCAAGTAACAAGTACTTAAAAGAAATAACCAGATAAAACTTACTAATGTACAGATAACTTTTAACGGTGGACCAACAGACAGACAAAGGGAAATAATGATTTTTATGATTGTAATTTTCCAGACTAGCTAAATCAAAGCAGTTACTGAACACCATCAATAAGAACTTCAGCACGCTGGCCTTCTGTAGAAGATGGCTGGATAGACTGGGGGAGACCAAGTATCTCATGGCATTGAAGAACCTCTGTGATGCAGGCATCGTCGACCCGTACCCACCGCTCTGTGACGTGAAAGGCTGCTACACTGCACAATATGAACACACCATCTTGCTGAGACCCACTTGTAAGGAAGTGATTAGCAGGGGAGAGGATTACTAACTCTGCTAAAGTTCTACTATGATGATCCTTAGATTGAAGTAGTGGTGATTATAATCCAACCCTTTAAAAGGATACAGTGCACATTAGACTTTGTATATTGCAGAAAAAAATCCTGGAAATGTCAACTGTTCCCTTTATCAATAACTTATATCCCATCCAGAACTATGGAGAAAATTATAGATTATCAAGAAAACTTTTTTTGAGTTTTTAAATTTGGAACAACTAATTTTTAGCTGATGTAATCTAATGAGTATGCCTTTAAGATTACAGCAGAGCAGACATCAGCTTTTTCTGAGGAATTGCAGAATTCTGAGATTTTAAATTCAAATTCTAATGGGGGCCTAAGGACCTCCACCCAACTAATTACTAGTGTTAGGTCCCCATAAAAATGTAAAAGAAAAAGAAAACGGGATCATGTCTGCAAAAGTCTAGTTTTAAGCAGTCTAACTCGGCCTCCTGTAAATAGATCCGACTTTTTTTTTTTTTGGGGGGGGGGGGGTCAAAAGAGAGAGAGTAGTATCATTTTGATAAATATGCTGCTGTAACACTTGTAATCAGATTAAGGAGGGAAAACAGTGGATCAAATGAATGCAGAAGTGGATCATTCTGATGGGCTGTCCTGCAGTTCATAATAATTGGATACATTGTATCGGGGACACTATAACATTGTTACAGCATGGGTGACAGCAAATGAAGTCTGCAAATGGTAAATAAGAACTGTTCAATACATTATTTGATTTATATACTCCAGATAATAACTTGATCATGGTAGGTGATAGTGAATTATGGAATGTGAAAGACATTTTGCATTGTTGTTTATATCTAGGTGTTGATGAAATATGGCTTTCTGTTAACATTTGAATAGATGTGGATGTAAGGTGGAGAAAAATATACATCACCATGTTAATATTACAGTAATAAAAAGTACTTGTAATAATACAAAATTAGTAATAAAATATTGTATTATTTGTCTATATATGTGCAAAATTAAATTGATACATTCAGAATTTTTAATGAATTACTGGGAAGGGGAAATGTTTTGCTAATTATCTGGAATTACCTGTCGCCCCTCAAAACTGAAATGGACTCACCCCACCCGGCACCCCTCAAAACTTGGGATGGACTCGCCCCACCCGGCACCCCTCAAAACTTGGAATGGACTCGCCCCACCCAGCACCCCTCAAAACTTGGAATGGACTTGACCCACCCGGCACCCCTCAAAACTTGGAATGGACTCGCCCCACCCGGCACCCCTCAAAACTTGGAATGGACTCGCACCACCCCATCACCACTCAAAACTTGGAATGGACTCGCCCCACCCATCCCCTCCAAACTTAATAGACTTGCCCCACCCATCACCCCTCACTGTTAATTCCAACTTATCATACGTGATTTCAAATCGAGAAGACTATGTTCAGAAATGCCAATACACAATATTACTTTTACTTTAATTTCTTGTAAATCAAAACGACAACCACCAAACAAGCACGTTTATTTCCACAAATTTATAAGGGAGAGATTAGTACAAATACAAAGGATGAAAATAAAGTCAACTTCTACAATTTTAACTGTAGTAGCAAAGAACACAGTAGCAGAATTTTACAATCTCACTCAAGATTCAAAGTTGTGATACGCACGCACTATTGAAATTACATAGTGGCAATATACCGCTTCGACGATTTCACTATTGAATAACCAAATAATATAAAATCTGAATGGTTTTCAAGTAAAACCAGACATATACACGCTTCTCCAAATGTTTAATTAGATAAAAATCAATATTTAGGTGATAATTTGAATGCAAATTATTAGTGGTCAAACTAAATAATAATTTGAAAAGGAAACCCGATGGATTTCACGGCACGATTCCAATATGTTAAAATCTCACGTCTTAAGCTAAAAGTTTTTATAATAACAATATCAGCATGCACAGTTTCCGCCAAAATCCACTCGTGAGCGTGCGTGAGTCTCGTCGAGTTCCAAAATAGGCCTCCGACCAGAGGTCTGAGAAAGATATTATAAAGCAGGGCCTCAGCAACGGATTTGGCAGTTCTGAAATAGTAAAAGAACTCCATTAAAAAAGATATTAAAATGATAATATCCAATGCAATAAAATTTGAACTTAGATTAATTTTGATGTAATTCTATTGAACAAAGATAATATTCATATTTTAATATATCTTAAAAGATTCCATATTACGTTGAAAATAGATATACTTCACAACAAATTTCAATGGAAGTTGAGCACCAATTTCTAGTATATATAATTAAAAGAATGAGAAGAATAATAAGACCAATACTCACCCAAACCTAATATAGAGGTGCATTTCACAAGCTGAAATATATTTTAAAAAATTGTATGAATTCGAAATTGTATTCAAGTTTTAAACCATATATGTATACCCTATAGAACAAAAATACAGCATTAGGCTACTATAGATCCAAGAAAAAATGCCCTATTGATATCAGGATTTTTTCTGTCATCATGATTTTTTCTCAAAATTAATTCTTTCTTGCTTATCTACTTCAGCTGTACACACGAAAAGATTTTTCTAAACTTTAAATGAGAGGTAGCACAGAACAGTGTCTGGTGAAGACACATTTACACATTAAGCACTCAAACTATCAAAGCGTCTTAAAATACACATGCTCAGGAGGCCCATTTGTGTACAGTGAGTGGCATTGAAGTGACAGTATTTGCAAATGGGCACCAAAAAGTGACATCTTGTATTACCGACTTCATATGATATTGCAAACGTGTATATTGGCAGCGTGCTTATCTGGACTTTCAGAGTTCATCACGTTCAACTTTCTAAAACCCAGTGAAGTACCAACACAAACCGTAAGTTTAGATAATTTGAAAATACAAGGACAGTATAACCATGTAATTTGAACTCGTGAAAACACGAGAATCTTGTAAAGAACATCTTTGGTGCAAATAATATCTAAACTATAAACGATGAAGAGTGTATTTAAGCAATTCCACTAACTTTCGAATCAAAACAAAGAAACAAAACTGAGAAAAACTTATAAAGAAGCAATCAAACTCAATCGCAACGCGGGAGAAGTATGTCGTTTAGTCTCACAATAGACACGCATTCCACTTTATCGAATTATGCGCACTACATCTAACTTCTAACCAATTGTATAAACTCGTAAAAGAAAGTCTACTCACAAGACATAATTGTTTCATCCTGGGATACATCGTAATGGTCCCGAACTTCAACGCTGGATGAAATATTCCTGTCTTTGCCTTCACCACACCTATCCTGCGTCCTCTTCTTACAGGGTCCAGCTGTCAAGTGACCAGTCGAAAAGACAGTTCGCACTGCGCCAGTCGGCTTATTATTATGCAAATAACAACAGGTATGGCGCGTTATGATTGAAGAGTTACGGAATATCATTGGTTAAGACTGCTAAGGTTCGTTCACTGTCTGTTGTCATGCTAATACAATGTTTAAGCTCATTCTAGGTGTGGAGATATATGCAGAACAAATAGCTGTCGCCACAACCTTACTTGCATATAGACTTTTTGGACTATAAAATATTCTATTCATATCGATAGAAGTACTACGCACACCATGCCCGTAGCCAGGGGGTTCGGGGGGTTCGAAAGAACCGCCCCTTTTGCTGGGAAAAGGTCCACTCTGGGTAAAATTTGGACTAGGTACATAAAGTTTTTATGGGAAAAGGTCCACTTTTTCAGAAAAAGAACCCCCCTTTTGAAATTGCTGGCTACGGGCCTGCACACACAGACACACACACACACACACAGAGAGAGAGAGAGAGAGAGAGAGAGAGAGAGATTAATATACCAGCACTTTTAGGTATGATTTATACAATTTAGGAAAGCCCATCTTTTGTCTCTAACATCGTTTGGAATTATGCACAAAAGAAGAAATAGAAATATAAAGCCACAAAAAATGCTATTTAAACATATTTACTGAGACAAAAATATGGTGTGGATTCAAGATGTTCAGGAGATGAGGGAAATTGTTTTTAGTTTCCCTATTCCAACCAATACACACGTAGGTATTAAAATTATTGATAATAGATTAGTATCTTGTCCATTGCGAGAGCTGTGACATAAAGGTATGTGTCGCTTTAATAGTCCATTCAAGCTTAGTTTTATTGCAAAGTGAATATCAAATATATTTAATGTTTTCATTCCGCTGACATACTTATTCATTTCAATGGTTATGTTCCATTCCATCAAATTATATGAAGTTAAAATACTTGTATGTAACTCATACACTAACAATCTTTGTAACGTGGTTTTTCACCTCTAGCATGAGACGAAAACTGTCATTTTAATCTATATTTCAAAAGTTAAATTTAGAAAAAAAATCTTCCTTCATAGTCATTGCGTAACTGCACTCATAGAATTTAATGATTCTTTAAATCTTTAAATGAATCTTCCTTTACAGTCATTGCGTCATTGCACTCATAGAACTTAATGATTCTTTAAATCTTTAAAAAATCTTCCTTCATATTCATTGCGCCGTTGCGCTCATAACATTTTAGTGATTCTTTAAATCTTTAAATGCTTAAAAGAATACTCATTATTCTTTGTACCATTCTTTCTACTGCTTACAACAAAAGACCAAAGAAACCATAGCCAACACGAACAACACTCCCAACTGCTTTGCTCCACCGCCGACAGATGTCGCTGAGCTCGCATGTCTGGTGGGGCCTTTCTTTGTTGTCTTGGGGCCCTTGCCTTCGACAGTAGAGTAGCCAGGGTCGGCCTTGACGCAGATGTCTTCAATGTGCTTGGGAAGAAAATCCGAAGCTATCTGGACGAAAAGTTCCCCTGCCTCCATGCTGCAGGAGGTTTGTAAGATTTGCCGTCCACATGAGAATAGATCCTTGATGATGCTTAAAATAATAATAATAATAATAATAATAATAATAATAATAATAATGATAATGTTGATGACAGGTAATAAAGGTTATAACGGTGATAATTATGATAATATAGTTATAATAAACACGGGCCTGTAGCCAGCAATTTTAGAGGGGGTTCTTTATATGAAAGATGAGCCCTTTTGTCGAAATAGCATAGAGAAGAGGTTAAAATTTAAGCTGACTTAGAACATGTATTTCCTAACAGCATAAACCCTCTTATCATATGCCTGAATAATTTCAGATAATTGATACCCATGACCTGAAATTTTTCACAATCTGATCAAGGTTTATACATAAAGAAAGGGGCACGAAAATATAAATACATTATCATTTCATATATGACATATTTCTTACCAAGAATCCATTATTACTACCATGAACTCTTGATCTTGTTTATATAATTTCACAATTTTTATGTTTTTTTTTTTCAAACTTCCAAAAGGAAGCAATCTACTGGATCCAGAAAATTTATAAAGAATAAAATAAAGCCCTTTCTTTCTCACTTACCCACAAAATTGATCTTTCTGGAAGTTCTTCGAGACGGCGGCCTCGTTAATTTGTTTCTGTAGAGCCGTTCTTCCTTTGGCCAGACAGTCCATTGTCTCACTTTGATGCTGGAAAAGGCACTCAGCATTCTCCACATAGGCTACAAACAATACATTGAAATTAATAAGTGCATCAATAAATATATTGATTAAGAAATAATCAAATATATAAATGGATAAATTAATAAGTAAACGGGTTAAATAAAAATAAATAAATAATTGGATTTAAGGGAGGTAAGCATGTGGTCACATCATTGATGCTTGACAATTCAAAAAGTTCTAGAAAATTTTAATTTTAAAAAGTTTTAAATTCATGGGAGTACTCTGACAGAGCTAACTAGACAGTAATCAAGGGCGTCCCACATGTGCTGATACCAGAGTTTAGGGCTGATCATCTTTTCTGAAAACTGCATCAAATACGGTGCTTAACGAACAAATTCATGATAACTCTGTATGGGGAGACGGGGGATATAAAATAATGGACGATGGCAATTTTTTTCTGTAACATATAGTGCTTTACTCGTTATTATGTCCAAGTGCTAAGGGATGAATAATATAATTGTTTGTTTTTTTTTCTTGCTTCGCTTGTTTTACTGCTATCTTGGACATAATAACGTTATTATGCCCAAGCTGCTATAGATGAAACGGGGTGGGGGGATGGGGGGGGGGGGAGGAAGAACCACTGAGACAAAGTGGAGATGGGGGGTGGGGTGGGGGCAAATGACCGCTGTGCCCTTTACCCTGATCTGCCACTGCTTACTCACCGTCAAACATGGCCTTATTCCCACACACTTTAATGATCCCATCTCTTAGCACATTGTTCGTGTACATTTCTATCTCCAGTTTCATTGCGGACGAAATGTTGCGACAGGCTGACATCTTTTTTTCTTTACACTTCACTGCCTCGTCATAGAAACTAGAAAATATCAACAAATATGTAAGATACAGTACATTACAGTACATTTGTTATCACATCAGATGTACATGTATTTATCACCATCATCATTTTCTATTCCAATTTATCTTTTCTGAATTTCTTTTTTTTTATTTTAATAAAAAATATCTTAATTTATTTTTTGTTTTAATAATTAGGCACAGTGATTCCTCAGCCCAGTAGCAAATTAAAGCATCATTATTTTGTTAAATCCACTTCACTAACTCAAACTGCCCCTTTCCGCAAGTCATCTTTTTAAACTCAAAGAGAGGGGGAAACAAGGTATAGATATTGAATGTATCCAGCTTGAAATCAACGTCACTTCGCACAGTTTCTCTTTATATGTATTAATTCAAGGTGCAATTTTACAAAAAAAAATCCTGTTTTTTTTTTTCTTTTTGTAAAATTGCTTAAATTTTAATTAAAAAAATTCATTGTTCACTAAACATAGAAAACATCTACAACAGAAGTCACAGACACCCCAATTTTCTTGCATAGTAGACGTGCATCGTAAGAGCTGCTTCTTCGTTTAGAGCCCAGTGACACGAAATCCAAAGAATCACCACTCCCAATTGATGCGAAATGCTTCAACAACAAGGATCCACCCGAAATATTCCCCCGCAAAGAGGATCCGCACTTACCCACATAGCACTCTCAGTCTCCGTATCTCGTCAGTGGCTGGTAGCAGTTTCTTTTCTTGCATCATTAATTTTGAAGCTTCAAGCACTGGTATGAAGCACACCATGATGTCTTCTGTTTCCATACACGACCTCTCTCTGGCCATACAGCATGGATTGACTGAAAAAGTTATCATTTGATGATCATAAGGCAAATTTAGTTTTCTATAAATACCACAATCTGGGCATCAAGAACCGATATATATATATATATATATATATATATATATATATATATATATATATATATATATATATATATATATATATATATATATATCAATTGAAGGAGAGATATTGTTTGACTAATATTTGGGGGATGGGAAATCTCTGCAAACTTATTGTGAGACTAATTGCAACACCAATGGGCCGGGGCTGAATTTAAATAAAATTCATGGATTTCAAAAGAAAAAAGCTCATGCTTTTAAATCAATATTTTCAAGTTTTTATACGTTTTCATTCTTCAAGTTATCACAGATTAGGTTATGTGAAGAAAAAAAGTGCACGCGTTTATAGCTAGCCTTTAGATTCACATACAAAGGACAGAAAATGAAAGAAAATTACAAAACTAAATCAAAATTGACTCGTAGTGATTACTGTCATGCCATTTATAATATGTAATAAATATTTGACATTAAAGTAGAACAAAGACTTTGCAAATGTAATTGAATCTGCAATGAGTGCTGTAAGAAATTTATCATCATTTAAAAAAAAAACACTTACCAAATATCACCAAAATCAAAGAAACAATACAAGCAATACGGACTATCATAGTGATGGACGTTTCTAGCCACTCCAAAATGACTAAGAAACTGGCGAAGTAATGGACCTGGCACAGAGCAGTATAAACTGGATTTAAGACATCATGTATGTAATTATCGCCTTACCTTTTCGGTGAAACCTTTACATTTACACTTTCAATCATTAACAGTTTGCATGTAGCTAATTAACACACATAGAAACTGCAAGTCTTCAAAATGGTTGAATAAGTTTAATTCAGTGGAAAGGGATCCAAAAAATATTTTTTCATTTTAATACTTATCATTCAACAGCTTTTGCATTTTCCATCTATTTTATCTCAGCTGCTTATGATAAGTGTTTAAATCAACAATTAATTCTTGTAAAATATAAATGGTTAAAGTCATGAATAATCAACAGATATACACCAAATGCATGTTTTCAAAGATGCCAGTGTGTTATTGTGATGTTATACATGTTGATATTATTTTAACCAAATTTAAAAGAAAATGATTAAAAAAAAAAACAAAAAAACACCAGACTAAGATATGGGTCCCGTGGCAATCTTCCTTCTACAATTTAAGTGTGAATTACTAATAACTATGAAAACAGGAACTCACAAACAATATTACAATCACCATTTACCGAATCTGTATTAATTATTACTTTCAACCTTAAAACATTTAAGTCAACTATAAAACAATCTAAAATAAAATTGAATAGTGTAAATGGTATGGCAACTCCTGAGAACATCTTCAGTTATAATATAATGGCAGTGTTCCAAAACCACAATACATATTAAATACAGGCTTGCTTAAATCTTAAACGGAAAGGAAGTATTATCAAGTGTTGCACCTGCTCAGCAAAGCTGTAAATTTTATTTTGCAGCATCACAATTTCATTACCACAAATCAATAATAATTGCATGTATATTTTTAACATATGTAATATTCGTCATTTGCCTCTAAACTTCGCTAAACATTATTAAAATATTACCACACACATTTATGATAATTGTATGAATATTTGTAGCAAGTAAATTTTGCCATTGGGATGGGAGGGGGTCTTAAGAATAAAAAAATTGGGCCACAATTTCCTCAGCAATTATGAAGGCGTACCAGTAGATAAGGCCATTGATGGCACAGAAATGGGAAAACAATTGTCTAGTTTTGCTTGTTATATGTATTTATATAAAATTTGAGTCTCAATTCTCNTTTGCAACGGGGATGGGAGGGGGTCTTAAGAATAAAAAATTTGGGCCACAATTTCCTCAGCAATTATGAAGGAGTACCAGTAGATAAGGCCATTGATGGCACAGAAATGGGAAAACTCTTGCTTTTGTCTAGTTTTGCTTGTTATATGTATTTATATAAAATTTGAGCCTCAATTCTCTCAGCAAATATGCCAAGGGAAATGGGGGCGGGGGACTTAAGAATAAAAAAATTAGGCCTCAATTCCCACAGCAAAAATAAAAGAGTGCCAGTAGATAAGGACAATGGCACAGGGATGGAAAAATTTGGTTTTTTTTTCTGGTTTTACATATACATATTTACATAATGTACCCCTTCATTAACATTAAGAGGTGTTGGGTTCTTAAATCTACGGCGGGATTTATTTACGTAAGATAGTTACTTCTCTAATTTGACTCAGTAAAGTATAGGTAACGGCTCGAGTTATCCCTGGGGCTCCGTAACTCAAAAGCATCGCGTATTGCGAACGGCGATATAACATAGAGGCTACAGTGTATTACATGGGGCGAGTATGGGCGAGTTATGGAATCGAGACGCTTGCGCTCGGTCGCAATGCGCGCTGCTTTCGAATTATGGGGCCGGGAGAGCAAAGTAACGCAGCACCACAGCTTTGTATCCAAAAACCAAAATTCAACTCATTACCTGAACATTGGCTAGTTTTATGGAAGAAATTGGAGTGACAGAAATAGGGACGAGATTGTAAAAGTTTAAGTGAGAGGCGAAAGAGGATAATTTCTACTAATTATTAAACGAGCATACATGCGAGTTCATTTAAATTTATTTGCAAGTCTCGCTTTTTTTAGCGATGTGTACACGACCACTTTTTTTACAAAAAAAGAAAGAAAATTATAGAATATTTTTTATTCAACTTACAATTTTGAATATTTACAGTTTATTTAAAAAGGACTAATAATCAGTAATGAACTACGTAAACGCAATGAATTAATACATAATAGCAGTATTATCAAAAGTTCTAAGATTTTCCATTGTCTTCGTCTAGCGTCGGAACGCACACAGTCCGATAATGCAGGTCTTGTGGTCGGAAACTGGTACCAGATGCTCTCGGGCCGTGGGGAAAAACCCGTCTAAACCCTTCATGGGGAATGCCGGGGAAGTGCCCACGCCCGGATAATTCGGTCCTTATAACATGACGAAATCGGTTTCTATTGGCACGGCGCTGCGTACAGTTCAAAAATCGTCCCGTTTTAGACAGCATTGTGTGACGGAATAACCTTTGTCTTGACTAACTATTCTCTATAGATACTATACACAAGGTGAAGCATACAAACTTATTAAAGTAATTCTTACAGAAAGAGGTACTGAAGCCAATAAAAAACTAACAAGATACTTATAACAATTAAACAGAATCATTTTAACTTTATCTTGGAGAAATAAAACATAAATAAAGTTAATAATTTTACAACTGCAAGCATCCTTCAAAACTCGATTATAGTTCTTTTTATGATAAAATGCAAACAGATTCAAGTAATATGATTATAACGCGGGCATATCAATGATTTCAACTAAACTTTGATATATAATTTGACTTAAAATACCAGGTTTCTAAAATGTAACTTTGCCCCGAAATCGCAACTACCTGCATGATATAAGAACAGAATAAATGTATGACCGCCCATGCAAATTTCAATCTGATTTTTTTTTTTATCCGGAGAAAAGGTGCATATCTGATGAAGTGGATATATTTGTCAAGTATAACACTTGAGAAAATCTGAATGTTAGTAATGTGATCTCTATCTTGAGAGATGACAGCATCTCTCAAGAAGAGCAGACTGTGCAAAATTATAATGAAATATTTTCTCACACGTAAAATATTTCATTACAGATTTTGCACAATCTATCAATGTAAAATCTCTTCATGTAAAAGCGTTTACATGAAGTCAGATTTTACAAAGATGTGAGGGTTTTTTAGTAAGGTTAGTGTGCAGGTTAAGACCTCCTCAAATGCCATACTGACAAACAACTCCACATCATCAAAAGCACAAATTTGAAAAATAACCATCTCAGATTGAAACAAAACACAGACGACCACAAGTGGTGGGAATTTTTTTGTGAGCAAAAAACTATCTGCATTCAGAATGTAGATAAAGCAACTCTATATTCAATTTTAATCATCAATATAATAATTATAGCAACTGTAGAGGTAGACTTTTCATACAGAAGCACATATCTTATTCAGTTGATCTTGTATGGAATGAAGAATCATCTTGAACCTCAGTTTTCTCTTCAGCTATTGAAGTAAAATGGTTTCACTGCATAAGGCACACTATTCTGACCTATGAACCCCAAATATTCTCAGCATTCAAAAGACTGATACATAATTAGACTGTATTCCCACTACATTCGATACTGTATATTGCTCTCCATTACCATTCCACATTCTTTATATTTGTTTGCAGAACAAGCCGTGTCCTTCAAAACCAAGACTCCTAGGATGTCCGATCATCGATGAAAGTGGCCTCATGGCTCCTTGCTAACGCTGTGCATAGTGTTTCACATCTTGGACATTTAGTCTTGGGTCGACGTTATCTGACATCATGCAGGCGTAATTATTGGAAAACTCCCAATTCGTAGCCTACAAATGAAATCCAACGTTTACTCAAAAGTATGAAAAGCTATATCGAAAGCTTGCAGTAACTGCAACGAAGAGCGTATATCACTGGTATTTACACACCGTTAACATTAATGAAAAGCTTGGTTCTTAAAATGATCAGAGCGTTATTTCCAAATGTACAGCTTCCTTTATTGAAAGATATACATTAAATTTTTAGAGTAAGTAGACAGCAAACATTTGACAAAAAAGAAAAAAGATGTTGCTATATTGAATATTCTAATGTTAGCCTACATGTTAAATTGTTGTCTGTCTGTGCTACTTCTAATTCTACTGTTTGTTTACATAAGATATAGTTTTTGATCACTGTCAATAATAAGAAACGCCATAATACACCAATAATAATACAGGGTACTTAAAAAAATTCAGAACCACTTTTCTTAAGTTGTTGATCCCCAATAACTTACAAAGTTATCTGTGAAAAGATTCCTCGATCCTCAAGAAGCGTTTCATCTGGAGGTTTGGTGGTTGCAATCGTCGTTTTTAGAATCCACCACTTTAGGTAGCCTGCAAATTTAAATTATTACTTCAAAATGTAATAAAAGTCAACCATTTGTATATGAAATGTGTTTTTAAAGTTTCAGCAGTTTGATGGGAAATAAATATCAAAAGCACTTTTGTCACAAACTTTGAAAAAACATTCACGAGAAACATTTTGACATGCCACTGGCGATCTTCAGACTTAATGTCACAATAGGGTATTGCAAAAATTAGTTTTAACGAAGGAAAAGAAACACTATAACAGCATTTAAATCACTCTACTCAAAGATAGGTATAAGTAAAGCCTGGACAATCTAGATCCAGCGGGAGGAGTGTACTAGTATTCCATCAAGTGTTTAATTTGTGAAAGATTTATATAGGAGAGACAAAGAGAAAGTTGAACGTTAGAGTTAAAGAACACGGGAAGGAATAAGAAAGGGTCCCCGAAGAGGGAAAAATACACTACACCCCAAGGTAGCTTTCTGCTACAACGAACCATCACAAAAAACATTGATTGGGAGAGTGCCAAGATTCTACATGTACAAAAAGAAAGTGACTGGAGAACAAGAGGCGTAAAGGGAGGCATATAAACCAGGAAAATGCCTAATAATCTGCACAATATAGAGAGATGGAAATAGACACTCACTTGTACGATGGCCTTTTATTACCACAATCACAGCACTGGAGGTGGGGATGGTAGCTGCTAGTATACAATTTCTGGACCAGTAACAACGCCCCGGAGTCACATTGGTGGTGGTGGGTGTTGGGGGCGGTAGCTCCAAGTAATCTGGACCAGTAACCACGCCCCGGAGTCACATTGGTGGTGGTGGGGGCGGTAGCTCCAAGTAATCTGGACCAGTGACCACGCCCGGAGTCACATTGGTGGTGGTGGGTGTTGGGGGCGGTAGCTCCAA